ATCATTTTTAAATCTATGTGTGTGTCGTCGTTAAAATTAAGACTGATAAACGTCAAATTGAATTCCACACTCTCTGAGGGATCGACTTGGATTCTTTAGGTCCACTTTTACTACTTGTTCTCGACCCGTGCGCTTGCGGCATAGAATCGAATCCCGAACAGACTAGTTGGACGATTGCTATATTTAACTATAACTAGACCTGATATCTCATACTCGGTTCAGTTTTTTTAGTCAATTCATAGATAGTCCTCGGTTGCCACATCAACACACAGCACACAAAGTACTGAGGTATGTCAAAAGGGCTCCAGGCCAAGGATTATTTTATCCAACAAGTTCAAGATTGCAATTACATTGATATTGTGACTCTGATTGGGTGCTTGTCGAGACATCAGATGATCGGTAGCAGGGTATTGTGTTTTGCTTGGTGAATCACTAGTGTCTTGGAAGTCCAAGAAATAGCAGGTTGTCTCTAGGTCCTCTTCAGAGGTAGAGTATAGAGCAATGGCTAACCTGTACCGTGAATTGACATGGCTTCGATACTTACTCAAGGACTTGGAGGTGGTCTATCCTCAAGCTGCCTTTATATATTGTGATAACAAATCTGCTGTACATATTGCCACAAATCTAGTTTTCCATGAAAGGACTAAGCATATAGAACTTGACTGCTACTTAATACAAGATAAGATTCAAGATGGAAGCATCATCACTAAACATGTACCCAGCAGATCACAGACAGCAGACATTTTTACCAAAGCCTTGAGTTTTCAAAGTTTTTATTTGTGTATGCTCAAGATGGGAGTTATGGACATACACTCTCCATATTGCGGGGGGCTATTAGAAGCCAACAAGGCTATCAAGCTGGAAGACCACACTAATCAGCAGCACACTCAGCAAGAGATGCAGTATCATCAGCAGAAGAAGGATACTCTAGAAGGATCATGAAGCTAATTTTCTATTTTACAAACTGTATTCTGTTTTGCCACATGAGGATGGCATTGTACAATATTCATTTATTTTTTTGGTTTGTATAGAAAATTCGTGTATATATAGTATAGAGGGAGCTAAAATGTAATGATTTTGATAATCAATAAAATCTCCTTTCCATTCATTCTCTCAAATTCCCCCTGAATTCCCCCTTTTTATTCAGCATTTGTTGAATTGTGGAAAGGAAAGTCAACAAAGATCGAAGTGATCAAAAGCAAGAAGTCAAACAAAAGCTGAAGTTCATGTGCCAAAGCATTATCTGAATAGCTAAAGCCGTAAGCCGAAGCGCTACATAAGAAATTAATGAAGAAGCCGAAGCTCTTGACATAGAGGATCACCAATACGAAGCTCCATCCGGCAGAAAACCTTAGTTCATCCGAAGTCCCTGAAACCGAAGTTATCTCTTACAAGATCTATAGACAATATTTAGGAATGATTGATCTAACGTTTATAATAAATATTGTCAAGTGTGTCAACCTAATGTATAGGGCGGTTGACCCGTTGTCAATATATTTATTGTATGATAAACTTAGTGATATGAGGCTTCAATTTAGGAGATGAGGTCACGTGATTCTAATCCAACGAACGTCACATCGGCCAAAACACTATAAATAGGTGGTCTTTGTAAATGGTAAAGGACTTTCTTTTTTTTTTTTTTTGGAGAAGGGGGATAGTCATTTTGAATACTAATATATAAGAAAAAACGCTCAAGACAAAATACTCAAAAGAACACCTCTTGCTTGTTCCATACTTGTTAGTTTAATCCTAAGTTATTTACATTTTGCTAGTGATTGTTTATTAGTGCAATCATTCTAATCACTGCCGTTGGTGCTCGAACATTTCTATCTCGCGTCATAAAGTATCTCCCGTGTTCACTTGTTCTAACATTCTCCAACTCTAGAAAAGAAATATTCTTGTCTTCAAATATGAAGTTGGTGATCATAACATGATCTGATATTATCTTTCTCATACACATTGATTTTACATTTGCACCAGAACAGAAACATTTTAAAACAACAGGAAGAATAAGGCAAGCCCTTTATAGAACAACATAAAACTTGCCATAGCATTCTTTTAAGTAGGCTATAATTTGGCGGCACAGAATTTTCATCACTGAACGTCATTGAATTGCACTTTACTTCTATAGTAGAGGCCTTTCAGGTAAGAAATCAAACACCGAGGACCTCAATTGGCAGAAAAGACAATTGTAGTGAAAAAAGAAAAGCATATACTCTATTTGATGAGAGAGTGCAAGAGCATAAGAAGCTTACAGAATGGTGAAACAATGAGTTTTTTACTTGAGAATTACTGCTGCTGAGATGATGGGAAGTATTTATGTGGGACATGAGCAATTTTCCACCAATCTTCTCCTCTATCTTTCTGACAACGTCTTTGGAGATCGGGACATTCTTGAATAGACAGGTGCTGTAGCTTAGTGAGGCGTTGAAAAGCTACAGGCAAAGATTTTATATTAGGCAATTCTGATATCGCTAGTGTTCTCAGAGAGGCAAAACTGTCCAACCACTCTGGCAAATCTGAAATTCTTCGACAGCTACGTATTTCCAGACTTTGTAGTGTTTTGACGTGTTTGAGACCCTCGGGCAAACATTCTACCAGAGGGCAGCTTATAATGGCCAAACTCGAAAGGGAAGAAAGGTGCTCTGAGCAATTGGGCAAATCAGCTAGATTTGGACAATACATAATGGTTAAGTGTTTGAGGGCTGTGAGATATTGAAGTCCAACTGATATGGATCTCAGGCTGCTGCAATTCTCAATTGACAAGATCTGCAGAGATCTCAAACCTCCAAGTGGATTCTCCAGCAGAATTTCCATACTGTGGCAGTCACTAATTTCAAAACACTCCAAAGCATTGAGGTTTTCAAATCCTTCTGGCAGCAAGGAGAGCTCTTCACACCATTGAATGCTTAGGGATTTAAGAGAAGTCAAGCCTCCAAAATTTGAACCAAGGGACTGAAGCTTCGGGCAAGATTTGATCTTCAAGCACGTGAGAATACGATTATTTCGGAGCAATTTTTCAGGTAGAGATGACAAATCATCAAACCCTTCAATCATTAAAGTTGAAAGCAAGTTTGATTCTTCCATGCCATTAAGGATTATTGAACAACAACTCTGCATCTCGAAATGCTGTAGAGAGAGAAACAATGGGAGTGAAACAAGGTTTGGACACTTCCTGAGGACTAATTTTCTCAGTTGAGGAAATATTTGTCTGTCACTTGGGACCAACCATTCTCGCAAACTTTGAAAGTCTCTCATAAATAGTTCTTGGAGTGATGGAAATGGTACAACATCCTCACCATAGAACTCAGGGCCAATATGTGTAATGTTGTCCATACCTTCCATGCACAGTGATCTAAGAATTGGAAGATGACCAAGAATTGGTAGCTGCACGCATCCTGGGCAATTGATCAACACCAACTCTGTGAGGTTTGGAAGAGACCAGTGTGGAAATATGATTCCAGGATAACCTACAACGAAAATTTTCTTCAAATTTTTATGTGGTCGAAGGCACGCCAAAACTTCTCCAGCAAAGTCCTGATCACTAGCAGAAGCACATGTTTCAGGCTCCTCTGACGTCCCTGGTGTGTGGTGTTTTCTTTCTTGAAATCCGGCTATATTGGCTTCTAAAGCAGGATTCATGATGACATCTGCTCCCTTATTGCCCCAACAAAGCCCTAATGACTCCAGATACTCTTTATTCATCAGATTCGCTGATATCACTTCTTCAACAGCATGGACTCGCTCTAGGTTTTTTATTTTTAGCTCACCTCGAAGATTTAAATGTTTCAGTTCTGATATGGATCCAGGAACGAAAGAGTAGTATTTTTCTTTTCGAAGCTCAAGCCGCTTCTTTTTGGGTCGCTTTTTCAATGACATAGGCACAATAAATATTGGCAATGTCTGAAGGTGAATTAAATTTCGAAGTCCAATAGGCGGACCCACAAGTGCTTCACATCCGCTAATGTTGAGATGCCTCAGGCCTGTAATCAGAGCCACAGAAGGCAAGCATTTGAGATTATAGCAACCAAATAAATTCAGTGTCTGTAAGGAGCACAGGGAAGAGATGCCTGAAGGTAATTCGTGGAAATGACTGTTGGACAGATCAAGATATGTCAAAAGTGAAATGTGACAAATTCGCTGAGGCAGCTCTGTTTGGCATCCACTTAAGTCCAGCACCCTCAAGTAAATAAAACTCGAAAAGATTTCGGATGGCACTTCCAGCAATCCACCTTCTGAAAATATAAGGAGAGTACGCAAATGTTTTGCTTGGAACAGGCCTTCTGGAATGAGAGATGGTCTGTAACCAGAGACAATTGAAGCATGATGAACTTGTCCTATATTCTTTCGTGTAAATCCTTTCTCTATCACCAAAAATTCTTTTTCTGTAATAGATCTTGCAAGATTGTAAAAAGCTTCATTTATCCTGTACCTTCTTGTAGAGCCACTTTCAGTTTCCTTGATACCTTTGAATACAGACATCCAGAGCAAATCGTTAAAATACTCATTCCCAATGTCCTCTTGTGGCTGACCTCCATCTGAAAGAATTAAGCCTTGTGCCATCCACATTTGGATTAATTTCTCTCTTTGGATTTCAAAATTCTTTGGGAATATTGAGCAAAACGCAAAGCATTGTTTAAGGTGTGATGGCAAATGCAGGTAACTTAATAGTAGGGCAGGAAAAACTCCTTCTCTGTATCCCTTCAAATTCCAAATATCACTATTGTGCGCGTGTAACCACTCTCTCTCCTCTCTCTTGAAGCGCATTAGACCTCCCAGAATTTTTGCAGCCAAAGGCATGCCTCCACATTGCCGCATTAGTTCTTTCCCAATTGCCTGAAGATTTGGATATTTCTCTTCTTCTGTTTGAGTAAAAAAAACACGCTTTCTGAATATGTTGAAGCAGTCATCCTCGGACAACCCCTTCAAATGATATGTTGTATTTGAATTGCCTACAACCAAGGCAACTTTTTGACATCGGGTAGTAACAAGCACCTTGCTTCCATCAAGCCCACAACAAAACATCGGCCTCAGTTGATCCCACTCATCCTGATCTTCACTCCAAACATCATCAAGCACAAGAAGATATTTCTTTCCATTCAATGATTTCCACAGTTCAGACTGCAAACCCTCCAAGTCCATTAAATCACATCTATTTCCAGTTGATGACTCAATTGCTGATTTAATTATTCTTTTTGCTTTAAAATCACGAGATACGAAAACCCAAATTCTCAAATTGAAATGTTCCTTTACCTCATCGGCATTATAGATGAACTGAGCAAGAGTGGTCTTTCCAATGCCTGGAGTACCAACTATTGATATCACAGATGTAGTTCCCCTGGTGACTGTTCCATATGTTGGTAATAACATATCCATTATCTTCCTTTTGTCTTCCTCCCTTCCGTAAATCTCGGAACCAATAATAAAAGAGCTAGATTCTCTTTTTTCAAAATGCTTATCTCCAATATTCGTTTCTGCTAAGTGTAAGCTGAGTCCTTCCACCGCAGCCTTCTGTAAATCATCAAGAATGTCCCTTGTGTTGGTTAAATTCACAGCATATGGCTTTGTATGCTTAAAGTTTTGGATATATGTAAATTCTTCGAGCACGTCCTCTGCTTTATAGGCTGCTTCTTTGAGCTGAGAAAGCCAAATTCTGACAGATTTTTGAGTTGCTTGCTTCTCTTCTGCATCCTGGATAACAGCCTGGACTCGAGGCAGAATTCCCTGGAGCTTCCTGAACTGATCCTCAAGATCCCAGTACTCAGCAAATTTTTGAAGAACGGGGTTAGCTAACTTCTCAAAGACAACTTGCAAAAGTGGAGCCAAAACTATCTCTGCCATCTTCAAGTTTAGAGCTCGATCAGGTTGAGATTGAAAAACAAAATTGTGAAAGTCGATTCCAATGTGTATTTGCAGATTGCAACTATTTCCAGAAAACTCAGGCCACAGCTAATGAAGCAGAAGCCAAGTCAAATCAAGTTAGCAAAACAGAGCCAAAATGATAAGGTAGAAAGTTTTCTTCTACCGTTCGTTTGCAAGATGCTTAATTGTTGATTGCAAGAGGGTGACAACTTTGATACTGAAAGAAGATTTCCTACCATAATTCAACACAACGTTATCCCCTCTTTTTGCAAAAATAATTAAGTCCAAATAATATTTTTTGTTAAAATGATTTTTTTTTTTAATTTAAACAAAATTAGTTCAATTTATTTAAAGGTTATCTTCTTATTTATAGTGTATACTAGGTGCAAGCAACGTGCAATGCACGTTTGCTTAGTTTATATTTAATATTTTTGTTTAATAATTAATTTGTTATTAATAAAGATGTAATTTTTTTTGGTTAATTAAGGGTGTGTTTGGGCGCGCTGCAAGGAGGAAGGAAAATTGATTATGTTACCCTTTTTTTTTTCAAATCTACAGCCCTACAGTGAGAGAATTGGTCCAAAATTGCGGCTCCCAACGACATGAATTGTGTTGCCAACGGCTTGATTTCTGCTGAAAAGCAGAAACAGACACCATATAAATAATTAATGATGTAATGTTTATGTAATTGATAAATAATTAGATGTGTGATTTTGATATTGTGATGTAGGTTGGTGAGATTGAAGAAAATAAGCAAAAGTAGACAAATTTGGAGAAATGGCTAAATTGTAAGGGATCCAAAGTTCGGGGGCTAAAATGTAAATACTTAAAAGTTGTGCCGAATCTCACGATGAAGATTTGAGAGTGCTCGGAGTCAATTGGATAAAGGAAGATGTCAAGGGGATCAAATTTAGTCAAAAGATGATCATAAATCAATTTTCAACCGAAAAGTTATGCTCCGGTGTTTTAGTCTCATATTGAGACCTATTTTTGGCATAGGAAGTGATCGAATTGGAGAATGATGTCTGAATTAAAGTTGTATCCAGATGAGTTAGCTTTCCAATGCATTTTGCATCGCCTCAATAGGATATCGGAATACAAAGTTATGATAAAAACACTGAAAGAAGGTGCAGCTGCCTGTTTAAAACAAGAAATTCCGTTACATAGTCCGTTATATTGAGACATATTTTTTGCATAGAAAGTGATCGAATTGGAGAATGATGTCTGAATCAAAGTTGTAGCCAGATGGGTTAGCTTTCCAACGCATTTTGAATCGCCTCAATCGAACATCGGAATACAAAGTTATGATAAAAACACTGAAAGAAGGTGCAGCTGCCTGTTTAAAACAAGAAATTCCGTTACATAATCCGTTAAAACAACAAATTCCGTTAGTTTTTCCGTTAAACCAACAAATTCCGTTAAATATGCACTTTTTATATATAGAAAGATATGATGACAAAAATATGAATTTGAATACGTTTTTTTAAAATTTGCTTGAACTTTGTAATTCACAAATATTTTCGAGTAATTATGTATTATTTTCAATAATTAAAATTTTTTGTAGTATTATTCAAACAAAACCATAACCCATAAGTTAACTCTAAAACGCCCCATCAGTTTTTTTAAAGCACTTATAAATAAACCCTCTAGCCATTCATGCCATCTTCAATGCCTGAAGATGTGCCTGATAATTTCTTATTGTTTCACAGCTGTAGAGTTCTTCTCACCGTTAAATCATAATTGATTTGCTCACACGATATAGCACTAGACTAGTAGTCGTCCAACGTGACACTGAAATGACTTCAAGTAAAAATATAGGTCATTATAGAGGTCAAAATATAACCAAATCGTAGTATTTTTAGGAGATCCTTGATAAGGCTAGCATGGTTAAGGAGGAAGCTATCAAATTCATGACTCTACGAAATCAATTTTAACCATTGTCGAGTTGAAAGACCTACCATGGACACGCAAATATGAAGTTTGAAGCTCTTTCACAGAAAATGTATTCACAAAATTCATACGTTTCAACTTTCAAAAGCTTTTATTTATTGAGAAGGAAAAAATATAGCTGTGGCAGGCTTTTAAAGCATAATCATGGCATGCTTGGTACACAACCTGGATAGTATTGCACGGGATGACAAACAAGATTTTAACTTGCTATTGTACCTTAATGTTGTCTCGTACCATCCTATCCAACGTTACAAAGGTGCCAACATACCCTAAATGACCAGAAAGTATATAAGCTATCTGCTTCCTGTGGAGTCTCATCTCAACAAAAGCAACATTTAAAACAGTAGGAAGAATAAGACAATCCCATGGAACTTGGAATAGCGTGCTTTTAATTAACTTATACTTTGTCCACTAAAATTCCATGACTACATCCCATTTGTGAATTATGTGTTTTAAATCATATAGAAGAAGCTCGTGTTCTTAGTACTTGCAACAGAATGGAAATATATGTTGTGGCTCTGTCTCGGCTTCGAGGGGTTAAAGAAGTGACTGAATGGATCGTCTAGGGCACCAGTATGCCCTTTTTTTTTAACCCTGGAGTTCCCTAAACAAGAGTGCACAGTTTTTACTTTTCGTATATACCTGTTTGTGGTAGATAAGTGCAGTGCTTCAGACATTTGCTGACACCAATTATTGCTGTGTAATAAAGACCCCATACAGCACGTGTTTGATGTATCTGCTGGGCTCAATTCCCTTGTTGTAGGAGAAGGTCAGATTCTTTCTCAGGTAAAACAAGTTGTTAAAACTTGTCTGGGCGACCCTGGCTTTGATGGAAAATCAGCGGGCTGTTTAAGCATGCAATCACAGTTGGAAAACGTGTTAGAACAGAAACTAGGATTTCCACAGTCAGTTCAGCTTCTGTGAAGCTTGCTTTAATGAAACTTCCAGAATCTTCTCATGCTACTGCTAGAATGTCGGTTGTTGGAGCTGGCAAGATGGGGAAACTCGTGATCAAACACTTGGCTGCAAAAGGGTGCACAAAAATAGTGGTTGCTAACAGAACTGAGAACAAAATTGCAGTTACGCAAGAAGAGCTCAAGAACATTAAAATAGTTTATAAACCTCTCTCCGAAATGTTGGCATGCTGCAGAGATAGATGTAGTTTCACCGGAACTGCTCAGAAACTGAGCTTTCTACTAAAGAGATCGTTCAGACGCTCTCTCAGTGAGCTTTGTGTTTATGTCGTTGAGCCTAATTGTTATTGCAGTGCGGAGCCAATACGTAGACCAACATACACAATGAGATCTTCGTGGGATTGGAAGGGGCACGAGAACCCCCCCCCCCCCCCCCCCCCCCCCC